GCGACCATCGTGTATACATATAGAAGCTGCCTCCTGCTCTTTTCTGCAAGCAAATACTCTTTTCAAGTCATTTCTTGATACTTTAAATATGTCTTATTACATATTGATATAAAAGCCTTCGTCGGCCACTTCCTCGTCATGTTCTGCCTCAGCTAAGTGTGCTATGAGATTTTTTTTCACACTGCCTGCTTACAGCAGAACAACGTGTTGAAGCTTTACCTGGGTGTTGTCTCGTCACAACTGGCTGCTGTTGCAGAACAAATCTCATGTATCCATTCAGAGGTCTCTTTGGAGGCCCACTGGCTTGAGAACTAAGACACTTCACGTGGTTGAAGAATGAAGTCTGGAAGACACTGGTACACCTGCAGTGGACACACACACACACGCAAACACAAAATATAAATCAGATCATCCATTACTTCCAAAAGAGAGCCAAACATAAACTTTCAGAGGAGTGATTCTAGAGATGAAATGGTTGATCAAAAAAAAATAATACACAAATAAGCATTTACTGTGATACTCGAGGATTCTCGATATGTCCAGAAACAACCTCCCATTCACTTATTCTTAGGAGAATTACTACAGCTTGTAAATTAGTTTAAATACCCGGGGGTCATCCTGGATTCTTCACTCTCTTTCAAGAGCCACCGTCAAATTTAACCTGTATCATTTTAATGCAATTAGGACATCTCTGAAACCTGTTGAATCTCAGTATAAAGTCCTGCGTGTGCTGGCACCGCCTCCGCTAAATGATGACTTCAAACAGAAAGCAATCAGTCACTCTCCAACTAGAACCACCAGAGCCACTGCTAGAGGTGACTTTGACCTTTGTTCTCCTTAGAAGATCCACATTTTGTCAAAAATGTTTTGTCGTTCAAAGGGAGAGCATTATGGTACAGTTAATCACTCTCAGTCGGTGGAATTCTCCACCTTAGCCACTTTCAAGGGTCATCTGAAGCTGTGGTTCAGAACAAACCAGATCTGTGACCGTGTCCTATCATCTGTTCAATAGTATGTGCATAGTGCATACGCATGTCTGTATAAAAAAATGGTGCAATAGGGCTATGTGCAATCACACCAGCACTTTAAAGTTACAGGGAAAATGTGCAATCTACATCTTTACCTTATAATCATGTGCCATATAGGGCCCAACCGATATGAGATTTTGGGGCTGATGCCGAAATGAATATTGGGGAGTAAAAAATATCTTTCTTAGATCTATGTTCAATCTGTAGAGATAGATATAGATATACATGTTTATTGCGTTGAGCGCTCAAATGCAGATCAAACACTTGTGGAAAAGATATACAGTGTAAGGTAGAAGATGGTCACTCAACTGGAAAGTGACAGTGCATGTACGTGTGCATCAGTGCTTGACACTGTGGAGAGTGATAATGCTTGTTGTATGGCACACTCTACTGGTGAAAGAGAAGAGCTAGATTAATACAATGATGCTCAAATTAAATGATATGTGACTGGTGAATAAGTCTAGTGATATCAGTGCATATTGGAGATAAAAATGAGGCAATACTGATAGTCACTGGATAAGCTAATATTGGCCGATATTATCGACTGGCTGATTAATCAGTCGGGCTTTAATAATCCAGAAATGAAATACTCTGGTGACTTTAACTCTGAACGTCGCTTCATCCTGGTTTGTTTTTGTCAAAACTGCACAGCCACATTTTAATATGCAAGTAATAGTTCATGTTGTTGTTTGGTTTTTGCTCGTCAATGTGGTTCTATGTACATTTAATTATGTGTGTACAACCAGCCTGCCAAAGGACAACAGATGGAAATTAGACTACGGCTACAATCTGATATATTTACATGTTTATGTTCAATGTCCTTATTTATATTCTAAATATATGTCACACTACTTTATGCAAAAGTTGTTTAAAAAAATACTTCACTATCTGTTCCCTGCTACTATGGATGATTAACTACTGTTTTAGTTGTATTATTTTTATCATCATTTATTATATTTGGGTTATGACCTTGACTTCAAACAAAAAAACTAAAAATGTACATCACATGGACTACAACATTATCAGCAGATCCACAGATAAAACAATAAATTCCTATTTTCTCCCCCTCACATTTATACTAGTCAACAAATTAGATTTAAAAAAAAAAAAAAAAAATCTACGATCATTATAGGAAAGACATGTTTTCTGAATCTAGGCATCAAAAAGTGTCTTAAATTGACTGAACATTTGGCTGAAAGTCACAGAATAATTCACCAACCTTCTCATTCACATATACACATTTACAAAATGCTAAATCTTGTATAGCATTAAAGGTTATTTCTCAAGACACAGATACGTGTGAACTTGGAGGAATGCAACATGAGAACATGCAAAAGCTAGCTCTCCTTGTCAGCATGAGCTAAAGCTACATAGTAAGTCATGTTGTTACCTCGTCAGGGTGCTGGTGCTGGAGAACACATTGAAGGACTTCGTCAACAAGCTAAAGCTCGCTGACATGAAGCTGAACGGAGCCATGTCGGCCTTCAGGAACTTTAAAAGCCTTCAAAGCGAACAAACGAAAGACAAAAGATCTGTCCCAGGAAATACAGTCTTGTTATATTCATGCATGGGACGGTTTTAAATGAAGCCGAGTGTCTCTCCCCCTTTTTGCTTGTTGACATGCAGGCGCTGCAAAAGGCGCCTTGAGTCCCTCCCGGTGCATTGTGGGATAAGGTCTTCGTCCGTCTCACTTCCGTTTCCGCTTCAGATTGCTTCTGTTTCTTTATTTTTCCATGTAGTAAAAACAATCAGGGAAAATTAATTAGACAGTAAATGATAACAGATTAACACAATTATTTATTAACGTAAAACAGGAACAGAATTAATCAAATAACTTTGCCATAGGTTTTGCTAAGTAATGTGCAGCCACCAGGGGGCGCCATCGTCATCTGTTTCCCTTTAGTTACTTTATTACCATATACAGTCTCTGTCTGTCATCCATTGTGCGGAAATGTCATCCCAGCCTGTCTTCCTCCGTCCACAATAATATACAAGAAAAAGCCTACATGTGTGACGTGATTAAAACCAAATTGGTGTTTGTTTGGGATGGTTTTGTCAGGTCAAAGTGGGGTCACAAACAAAACAAGTTTGGGAGCCACTGGACCGTAAAGCGATACAAAAAATGTTTCAGTGAGTAGCTTGTTTTCTTGTGTAACAAACCACTTTTTATTTACATGATTAAGGAGAAATATGTTTAAATATCTGCCATATGACATATAATTTCAGCACTGATAGACTTCTGTTTTTTTGTTCCCAAAATGGGGGTTGAAAGACACTGAGAGGGGGGGGACAAGATATTCTTTACAAAAATCAAATTGAAAAAATTATTTAAAATAGCATATTTTACCCATTATTGTGAAAAATGAATACAAAAAGTAGTTCAATTTAAAATAAAAAAAATAGTCGTTAAGTTAGATTTATGCTGAAATATAAGCAATGTGTAAAAAAAACCTTTAAAGTGTAAGTTTGCACATGACTGCAACAATGCAGCACTCTGCACACATATCACACAGACATCACACAGTGTGTCTGTTTATCAAATTGTATGTTCCCTCAGTGCTACAGTATAAACATGGCGGTTATTTGTGATCTCCTTCTAGCATTTATTACAATAAATTATTATTATTATACAGAACGAGAAGCAGGTAAACCCTGCTTTTATTATAGTCATGGTTTTGTCTTGCTCGGCAGTTTCAGCAGATGGCTGTTCATCGTGAGTCTGGTTCTGCTCGAGGTTTCTGCCTCTTAAAGACAGTTTTTTCTCTCCACTGTAACTTTGCTTAAAGCTGCTTAATGCTCATGATGGATTAACGTTGGGTCTTTGTAGATAATATCGCCTGCTCTTTTGTAAAGCGTCTTAAGATAAGATATGTTATGAATTGGAACTATACAAATAAAAGATTCACTGATTGAATGTTGTGCCGGTAAACTCTCTTCGTCTGTACTTTTCCAACGTTTTATATTTTAACATATACCACTGATATTTTGAGTATTTTCAGTTTTAGTTCCAGGAAAATTATTTAATTTCCTGTTAAGCCATTTTTAAAGTTTATTTTTGTTATTCATGTCAGATTCTAACATTTAATGCTTTCCACCGTAAACTAGGCGGTAATAACTGAATCAGACCAGATTAATACTGAACAACACGATGACTACATCACCTCATGTCAACTGAAGACGTTTGCATAAATATATGAACGGCTTTTCAATTCATAATTGAGCTAGACCCTTATGTGATGATTAAGAAAACAACGTACCAGTCTTGAATTCAGTATAAAAGGTGCCACACAGGACTCAAAGACACGAGTAAGAGACTGTTTACACAAGAGCAACAAAAGAAGGATTTTTTACCTTTTTTTTTTTTTTTTACTTTCTTTAGAATGATCGCTCTACAAACAGACTGAGACCAAACAGAGGAACATACTTAACCCTTAAATAAATTATATGTTGGATCTTTTTGCCTGTGTAATGGACTTTTCTAGTCTTCTGATTACTCAAAGCGCTTTTACAACGCATATCACACCTACACATTCACACACTGATGACAGAGGTTGCTATGTGACCATCAGAAGTAACTAATCGTGGGGCGCTGGTGGTTAGAGCGCACGCCCCAGGTATGGAGGCTGTAGTCCTCGAGGCAGGCGGCCCGGGTTCAAATCCAACCTGTGTCTCCTTTCCTGCATGTCGTTCCCCAATCTCTCTCTCTCTCTCCCTGATTTCCGACTCTATCCACTGTCATATATCTCTAATAAAGGCACAAAATGCCCAAAAATAAATCTTGAAAAAAAAGGGAAAAAAAAGAAGTAACTAATCCGATACGCTGCCAACGAAGCAACTTTGGGTTAAGTGTCTTGCTCAAGGACACATCCTTGATTGATCGTGATTGGTAGACGACCGAGCCACTGAGCCACAGCCGCCTCCTGTGTAAAGCCAACTAAAATAAAACAACAACATGAGAGTTATCCTCAAAGGGAAAGAGAACATCAGTTTAATGACAGATTAATGTGACGACGATAGAAATGAAACAAAGTTAAACAATAATAGAGTTCCAGAGGATTTTTTTTATACTATACAATGAATCATTAATAATATTGTTAATAAAAACAATGATAATAACAATAATAAGAGATGAAGAACACAGTAATACATTACTTTTCATTGCTCCTGTTTTTTTTTTTCCCATTTCAGCTTTAACAGTACATTGTTCTTTATATTCGACCTGCTACAAGATGCAAAAAGTACTCGACAGAAACCTCGATCGCCCACTAACATGAAGGGAAGGGTGAAGATGGGTTATTAAAAAGGGGGGAATGTTTGAGTTTAGTTTGATGGACATGTGTCAGGATGACAGGCTTGTACTGTGTGTTTTTGACACATTTCAGTAATTCATTATGTTCCGAACCGACCCGAGTCCGACTTGTGACGATCCCAGACTTTCAACCTTCGATATGATACTAGTCAAATTCAAACAATATCCATACCTGTTCCAGTATCAGAAACAAATACCAACGTTATAGGAATCAAAGATTGTGTCTTTTCTTGCTTTTTAAATTACCAAAAAATTGCGAGCAAACTCCTGCACTCTGTCTGAATTGCACAAATGCATAAGCAAAGTGACAGCACCAAAACATCGACGATGTACTCGTGCGTTTTAGACCGTTAAAAACATGACTGAAGATCTGTAGTTGTGTCGCTTTTTTACACTATCACTATCCTTTACTACGTTATAGTAAAAGGAGATTCTGTTGTTTGTACACATATTGTATTGAAACATTTCAAAGTTTAAAAACTGGGACAACCTTAAACCTGGGGGGGGGGAGGAGAGATATCCACATGTGGAGCTGCAGCTTGTTCAACATATATGATAGCATGCTGCGCTCTTAATCAGCTCCTTTATAAAAGAAAAAGGCTTATTGCTGACACGTCCCATGATGTGATTTCAGTCCCAGCATTCACCGGCTCAAATAAAGATTACATGAATTAATTTGTTAATGAATGTGTGTTATTCATGAACATTTCCTTGATGCAAAAACAGCGTGACAGAATTTCAGAATGTCACTGAGTCAATTCAACGACCTTGGACCATCTTTGCTCACTTGGAAAACGCAGACTGATCTATACGTCATGGACTTGTTATAATGTTGATGACAGTTAGGTTGAAGTTACCTTACATTACTTAATGATTCCTGACTTTAATTGACAGTGTGTTGTGACTTTAAGAAAGGAAGGAAAAAGAAAAAAAAGATCTCCGTATGCTTTTTTTTTTTTTTTTTCCCTATGTTGGAATCTTTTTTTCTTTACATGGCATACTTGCTGGTCCAGTCTTTTGCTATTCTGTTGTATCTGAGGACAGAAAAGAAAAAGAGAGAGGGTTTAGTCAGGAGATCATAAGCTACGAACAACATGTTTCAGAAAAGATAAATGATGACTGATCCTAACACCGTGTCCTAACCGCACATTAGATATTGCGTCGCATCGCGCATGATCTCACACTGGCTGTCCACACTGCATCCGTTAAATATTTCAGTCTCTGCTCTGTGAATTTCAGTTTCCCCTTGTTAACAATATGACATATTGTCTTGTGCTTTTACACTGAAGGTGTACAAACGGATGTGTGTTGCTTTGTATGGAGGATTGACTCAAATCACAACACTCAAAGGCTCGTTAATAAACGTCTCGGTTAGCCGGAAAACAGTTTCTCTCCGATATTGACAAAAGTCAAAGGTCAACATTTCATCACAATGTGGATATCATTTAATACACTGTTATCTCCACTCAGTTGAACAAGCTCTGTTGAATGAGAAATCAAGTGTCAGTGCCTTGCAGAGCCCTCCCCTTCCGGCCCCGCCCCCCTTAAACGCAACAATTCTCGCGCCCCATTCACCCCTGCCTCGCGTCTCGTGCGACTTAGGGCAAAGGATTATGGGATGCTTGGCGAGCAGGCGCTTGCACCAGATGCGAGGGAAGGGGTGGGACAAAAGTTCAACTTCGGTGAACAATATTCAAATGAGTAAGATGCGAGCTGCGGGATCCGCCATTTGATTGGCTATTCTGGATTTCCCGTGATTGACAGGAGAGGCTTTTTCCCCCCAGCATTTAAAGCGGAAACAACATGGCAGCATTTTCTTAACATAACAATATACATAAACAGTGCGCTGAAATCTCATCCTGAAAGCATTTGGTGCGTGAGATTTGTAATGCAGTATCTGAATCTTGACCCATTTAGCCTAAAAAAAAAAAAAAAGGTTTGTTTGAGCTTCATGGTGAATGCTCTGCTGTGATTGACAGCTGCTTTTTCGCGCCATGGTTCACGCCCACAAGAAGCAGGGAGACTAGGCGACAAGCGAGGTCGTGCGTGAAATTTCGCGACTTGTCGTATGCAGTGGGACCACACCGTCGCTGACACTCACACGACGCGTTGTGCGCTGTTAGGACAGGCTGTGAGGAGGGGAGGCGTGTATGCCCATTTTGCAGCAGCACAAAGACAGAATGAGATAAGAGGATGAAACAATAGATAATCAAAGGACAAAATAACAAGGTATCCTTCACTTGAAGTTGAGATTTAGATCATTTTGGTCGATAAAGCCCAAAAGGAGGCAGTGTGAGCGTGAACTCACCTGAGTTTGTCGTTCTTGTAGATTTGTGCTATGTCTGGAACTAAGGGGTCGTCTGGGTTGGGATCACAAAGCAGTGAACATATAGACAAAAGAACTGTAAAAAAAAAAACAACAAACAAAGGAGTTAAAAAGATCACCATGGTGATCAGATGGATCAATGGAGCCACACAGATGAGATTATTTGTGTATTAGTTACACTCTGAGAGCGGGTAACACGATGATGTAACGATGCACTGATGTTACCTTTAGACACTGTTAGTGCTGGAGACCACTGTGACCGCAGGATGTCCAAACAGATGCTCCCATTGCTGTTTATGTTTGGGTGATAAATCTTTGTTGTGAATGCTACCTGTAAAAAAGAAAAAAAAGAAAAATTGTTCACACTGGTGTGTAAACGGTACACAAGTTGCACCTCCACTGATACTGTAGTAGTGATCTACTCAAACACCATCTGTTCTCTGCAGCCTACAACCTCCCTTAACTCTGTCCTCCATCGGCCTCCCATCATTTTGCTACCTGTCTCATTTAAGTTTTTGTCTGGTCCCTCCACCATGTAAAGCGTCCTTGGGTCCCTTGAAAGACGCTATATTAACCCAATCAATTATCATTATTATCATCCATATATTTAAAACGGTGAAGTGAGGTGTAGAGCTCAGTGCGTTACTTTTCCTCTTGTGGTCACTTCATGTTGTATTGCTCCTTACAAAGATTAGAAACATTGAAGTACTGTTTTTAATGCCAGTTTGAAAGAAAAACTAAATTACATAAGGTCACTTTTTACTAAATAGATTTTTTACTTTTTAAATATACTAAAAAAACAAGTTTAAGAAGGGGATATAACCCTGAATGTTGTTTATAAGATTTAAGAGGTTATTGGTACAAAGTCACTGAATATTCTGAACTCTAGTTGGCAAAGAATATGTGGGTACAAGATACGATCCACAGGTTACAAAAATTGAGCCCGACCAATTTATCGGCCAGCAAATAATATCGGCAGATATTAGCATATCCAGTGACTATCAGTATTGGCTAATTTTATAGAAGATATTACTAGATTTATTCACCAGACAAATAGCATTTAATCTGAATTTCATTGTATCACACTAGCTGTACTCTTTCACCAGCAGAGGGTGCTATATGGATTATAAAAAGCATTAGCACACTCCAGAGTGTCAAGAGGTGAATCAGGTACATGCTCAGTGACATTCCAGTTGAGTGACCATCTTGTCTTCATTATATATCATTTCCTTATGTGCTTGATAACTGCATTTGTGAGATCAACACAAAAAAAAGTGTGTATCTATCTTTACCTACGGATTGAACATAGATCTAAGAGAGATATGGGTCGATATTGGATCAGAACTGAAGAAAGTGGATCTGTGCATCAGTAATTAGAAGCTGAATTTGACCTTCTTGTTTAATGACTGTTATGGATTCTGAGCGGGAAAAAACTCCCTCTGCTTTCCAAAACATCATCAATCAAAATAATGCATTGTACAATTTGTCAGGTATTTTACATAACTTATAAGAACAAATATGTTTTCCTCCTGACTTTATGAATGACAGAACAACGCTTTGAGTGGCTAAAGCAGCTCGTACCTTTGGTGGCTTAAATGGGTAGTCGGTGGGGAAGTGGATTGTGAGGAAGAACACTCCTCCTTGGTAAGGACTGTCACCCTGACAGAAAGACATGAGACACATTGCTGTTAGTTGAAAGGGTACCAAAATATAGAAGCAAAATACAGGGTGAGAGTTCTGTCACACTCCTCACTCTGCGTTACACAAATCATTCAGTAATGTGAGGGGATGCAAAACCAATGCAAATTTAAACAAACTCATCCCAGCTGTGATCTTAAAGGTATATACACTAAGTGAATACACTATACTGAAAGCTTAAAGTGATGCTGGGATACTCACCGGACCCATTATGGTCGCCTGCCAGTGAAACACTAGAAAGAGAGACACAGGAGAACGTAAGCAGCACACCTCGCACAAGCTGATGCCTCTGTCCTGCTTTCTCTATGCAAAGAACAAGTGAAGCTAGCGTCTCTGACTTAGAGCAGGTACACCTCCTGTCACTGCTCCTGGACTGATAACCCGCCCAACCGACTGCATGTTCTCTTCTCACACCAACTGAAGACTTGATTATTGTCCTCGCAGTAAACTCCTTGCTCATATTTACGACTGACCAGCCGTAGATTTGCAATTGCAATAAGTCACAGCAGAACTGTCTTTGCAGTCGTTTTCAAAGTGTCAGCAGGAAGTAGACGTTGCAGTCAGTATTGATTACAATTACTGAAGTATTATGTTCTACGTTTGTTGTTTTCTCTGCTGTACAGATAAAAACATGATCCTAAAACATGAGGCACACACCTAACTGTGAGTATGGTGCCTCTTAACATCTACATTTGAGAGGGGACAGATGGAAACTAAATGCTTTCCTTCATCACGTATTTGGACGTTCACACTGATTCTGCGACGGTGGTATTGGTGTCCCAGTCTGTGAATGCACATTGCATAGCGTCGTGAAAGTACGGCACAGCAGGAGCTCCACATACACACACAGTCACACACCGCTGCGCTCCGTCGCTGGCTCAGCTGATCCTGTCTCGCCCCTGTAACGCCTCTGTTACTACCTTCAGAGGCGGTACAGGGAAGGGAACACCTCGCCCCCCCCCCCCCATTACGCCCAAAAGTCACAGGGACGTAAATATTGTGCCTTGAAACGGCAATAAGAATAGGGCTTAAGAATGCAAAGCTTCACAAAGCGTTGTTGTGGTATTTGGGTTAAAAATAGCAACAACAGCAAATTATGAAAGCATGTAACAATGACGAGGTATGAAAAGATGCTAATCATACTCAGGAAGGTTATTTTTACCTCTTTACTGAAGATTTCATTAAATACTTTCTCAATTTTACAAAAAGAGCCAAAAAACATTCGACACAAGAAAGACCTGCAATAAACTGCTTAAAGAAGTATTAAGAGTGCTGTTTTCAGCCTAAACTCTGAGCATCCTGCTTATCAAACCAGATGAAACAATCAACCTGAAACTTTCATGTTCCTGTCTCTAAATTTAGCACAGCGTGTATTTGTACAATGTCTTATCAGACACGGCTTGCAGAATCAGTGACTTCTTTTAAATCTCTTCTTAAAACCCACTCATATAGACTTTTATCTCTGTTGATTGAGTCCAGTTCCCTTTAACTTCTTCTATTGCTTTATGTTTTCACTGCCTTTTCTCTGTCTAATGCTTCAGCTGATTTTATTGTTATTTCAATTTATAGCTAATATCCCCCTCTTATCGTTTTGATCTCCTTCTCAATCAACTTTAAGATATCTCATATAGCCACTTCCTATTGTTTCTTACTCAGGTGTCTCACCCGTGGGTTGCTTTGTTGTCGAGGTGTTTTGCTGTTGTTTAGGTTCTTGCGTTTCGTTGTCATGTATGCTTGCGTAGTGTCAAAACACTTTGTAAACCCTTGTTTTTCAAAGTGCTATACATATAAAGTTATTAATATTTGTTAGATGTGTGTCAATTATTGGGAAAACTGGATGAACGCCTTTTAAAAACTTTTTTGTCATGATTTGTTCATAATAACGACATATTTAAACCATAAAAGGCGCAGACAGTGGGACGCAAACATGTCAGAAAACATCCTGGAGTAAAATTGTGACATGAAGAGTGTGTGTGTGTGTGTGTGTGTGTGTGTGTGTGTGTGTGTGTGTGTGTGTGTGTGTGTGTGTGTGTGTGTGTGTGTGTGTGTGTGTGTGTGTGTGTGTGTGTGTGTGTGTGTCTACTCACAGTCATCCCCCACTGGCCCAGCAGAGCACTGAGCTGGAGGGTCTTTCTGCAGGTCCTGTAGTTCCTGTTTAACAAGGCATAACGACTGTTATCAGTTTGTTAAGAAAGGGACGAACACAGTTTCACTGAAGCAACAACTTGAGTTTGCAGTAGTAAACTCATTTGGTTTGGTAAGTCAAAGTGACTCATTTAGTTCATTTTCAAAAGTGTTTGGTTTCCCTAAATCTGAGTGTATTCCTCAGTGGATCGTCTAATAAAGGAGACTCTGCTTTGGACTTCTTTTTTGTCAAATGTCTGCCACTCATGTAGAAAAAAAAGCCTTGTAGTTCTTATTCTCCACGACCTTCGCTGATTTTAGAACCACAATAAAAACATCAATATATTAGTTTTTGTAATGTTTTTATGGCCTTCATTTGTTGGTAATAATCTAAAACTGTATTAATACTGATGGACACTTTAAATAGTAACCTCTGCCATCAGTGTATGAGTGGGTTGACGTGACCTGCGGTGTAAAAAGCACTTTGAGATCTATTGAAGTCATTTAGGTCGGATATCGGACTGGCCACGCCGATCCACATCACAGATCAAGAAAGATGTTTTGGCACTTTAACCGTTCTCAGCTCGCACAGTCTCACTTTGAAGACGTTCAGACTAAACTGTACGAAATGCCCACAAAATTGTATCCATGACGACCAAAAGGAAAGTGTTTTAAGTTATAGGATCCTTATGCCTCTGCTGTTATTCTCAACAATAAAGAACGGCTGTTGCAGTGAATTCTGTGTAGGACATGGTCATTATCTAAAATCAATAATGATATGTATCGTATCGTGGGGTTGTGGGAAATAGCCAGCCCTGCTTCCTTTGGAGGCGGCTTAGTTGTAGAGTCTCTCTTCTCTCAACCAGGTCGGGGGTTCGATCCCCAGCTCCTGCAGCCACATGTCCGATGTGACCTTGGGCAAGACACTAAATCCCCAAGTTGCTCCCCCTGCTTAGATGGCGGTGTTAAGGCATATGAATGTGTGTGAATGGGATTAGTAACTTCTGATGGTAGCTTTTACATAGTGTGTGAATGGGCAGGTGTGACAGGTGTAAAAGCGCTTTGAGTAGTATTATAAAAGAAATCGTTTTAACTTCTGCCATTAACAAACAGATCAACGATAAAAATGTCTGTCAGCAAGTACGCTTCAGCGTGTTAGAAAGGTTTTCTCAATTACTTTTTTTTAAGTTAGTTTTGGAAACAGTTCTTCACAGTTTTTAGTGAGTTATTGTTTTCATTTTAGTTTCAGTCAACAAAGTTTTACACATCTTGATTTTTGTTATTTTTCGCAACGATAATAACCTTACCCTTGTCTACCTCCTTAACCATGAATCTTGGAAGGTTTTTTTTTCCCTGTGAGCTCATAAAACAGTTTTAAAGCATGAAATATACAGCAAGGAGTCAGAAGAACGAGAAGGAAACTTAAATGATCAACACGACAGGTTAGGGCTGATGATAAATAAGAATTAGCAGCATCAGGTAAAGAAGGTGTGCAGACTTGAGAGGAACAGTGAGTTAATAGAAAACGAGTGGCTTCATTGTGATATTGGTCTTTAGATATACTTCCACTATTAGAGGACATCCCTGCTTGATGTACTTGTCCACTGTAGCCTGCTCTTTCCCTCCTCTACAGTTCCCTTCCTCCTGTTACTTCCGGGTTAGAAAAGGAGTGGCGTGAGTTAAAAGAGCTTTTCTCGATCCTCTCTTAAAGCTACACCCAAAATGAACCATTCAAGGAGTGCATGATTTATTGCGTAATAAAACTATATCTCATACCCATAAAAAAACAATGGCCTAGTTGTTAAGAAAATGCCTGACACTGTCCTGGTGTCACTTATAATAAACAATCAGGGCTGTTATGTTTGTTTGTTTGTTTGACAGCTCAACATCGAATAAACAGACAAAACAGTGAGAAATAGAGGTAGTGAGTCTCTAACATCAACATGAGAATAATACAACGTCGGTGGGAGTTATCTGGTTACAAAGAGAGACGTAATAAAGAGCACATACGGAGTGGTTACAAAGCTATCTTTGGCTACATGTTAGCAAGCTAGCACGAAACTTTGAAGTTGTCATTCTCTGATTATTTTCTGTACTTGTAGGTGTCAGCAGGTATCTTGTTTCTAAAAACGTTTCAAAGTCCCCCCGAAGTTGTTCTTCACCGGGGATGGCGTTGAATTTAAGGTAAATAAGCGGTTTAAGTGTGTGTGTGTGTTTGTGTGTGTGTGTGTGTGTGTGTGTGTAAGGAAATGGGATTCTTACGTTAGCCTATGCTAGGCCAGTTAGCTACCGTAGCTAAGCAGAGAAACTCACCTTGTTTATTCTCTTCAGTGCCATGTTGACTGCTGCAGTTAGATCCTTCAATAACTCGCGTCGCTCTGTGTTTCAGTTTTAATATTATTGCCGGTAAGGTCAATGATTTTAGTTGGTTCCCTGAGTACTTCGACAGCCGGGGATGTGTTTGTGTTTTTATAAAAACCCCTTTTGTTTCCGCTTTCTTATTTACGGTCATTCGCCCGCGGTGCATCATGGGAAAGGTAGTTCTGGGTATTTCAACTGGGTGTAACGAATAATGCCGTACTTCAATGAATTAAAACTGGTTTGATTGGTGTCAATTATTTCAGGATTCATTAGATGACTAATTGCGGTTTCTGTGCATTTAGCTGCACAATAACAAACGTATCCAACAATTGTGCTATAAATAAAAAAGAAAAGAAAAACGTTTCTAAAATGACAAGGCCTACATATTGTGTTAAATTAAAAACATCACCTGAGTTGGCAATTTATCTGGCGGCCTATTTCACTCTTATTAAGCTATATCTTATTTACATAGACCTGAAGTAGGCTATGCAAATTTCATTTAAAGTAATTTCATAGTTTTTTTTTGTATGTTGTTATTTGTCATTGTTGTGTCATTATTTAATATAAAGGATGAAGGAGGAGATTTGTTGTAATAATGTGAATATTAGAAAAGGGGAGAAGAAGCCAGGCTTGGGAACTGGAGACTCTATTTTACACCAAGGTGTTTCTCTGACTGGTATCCTTTCCAGAGTAGGCTGCCTCTTACGAGATGTCCACTGGGGCATGCTCTGTACCCTATGCATGGAGAACTGATTGATTTTATGTATTAGCTTTTACATCTTAGTTCCAAATTTATTGTGATAATTTAGAAATTAATGTCTCATTATTGGTGTTTAAAAATAATAGAAAGAAGGTAGCACTTAGAGATATGAGCCTCTAAATTGATGTTATATAATACAGACAGTAATCATGTGGCCAATCAGAATAGTGATACAATTTGTCTAGGATAGTGTAATTTAGGCCTACAGCATACACTCCATAATTATGTTGTTACAACGAAGAGAACAGCACTTCATTCCACTGTAAACAGAGTTGCAATCTGTTTACAAATCCCACTATTTCTGTTTATGGAGCTTTATGGGAGCGATAGCACAAACTTCCAAAAAGATAAGTGTAATTGTTGGCGCCATTGGGGACAAGGACTTGTCTGGAAATTTCCCAGGGGTGGGTTATTTGATTGCAAAACCCTCAAATAATTTTTTTATGTTAATGCATTCCAGATCTTGCTCATCACTTCATTTTAACAAATTCTCACATTTTCATGAAACAAACAGGTCTTTGTTTTTTAAGCACATCCGAATGGGGCACAACCTACTGTATCAAATAATGAAATGTATAAAAGGGGCTTTCAATGTGAGGGACAAAGTTGTCTGGTGTGTTTGATGGTGGTTGAACCCAAAAACCACTGGAACAGCAATATCCACAAAATCTTTCCCAGGGCTCCATTGTTAATCAGGCTCCCTCAGCCGCACAAATGCCTGCTGGTATTCTACTTCCAAATGGAATTTCACTGCCCTTTGAGGCCCGACGTCCCATTGATAATCCCGTTCCTACTGTTGTGTCACTGTCCAGTGATTGACTATTATTTCCTCTTTACAAACCTTTTGAGGCATGTGACCTAAGGCAAGCCCACCAATTGGCATCCCATTTTGCTCAGAAGCCACAAATTATTGTTCCCACCTCTGCTGCAAAACAGGACTTCTGCTGCAGGTCTTTGTGGTACATGGGTTTCCTATGTGTTAGTTGTTGTTGTTGCTCTGTTTGTATCCTTCTCCTTCTTCCTGCATCTCCCTCTATCCTGCTTTCCACGCCCCTCCAGGCCAATTTGTGAACTTGTATTGTCATATTGTAAATAGACACCAACAAGGAGAGGGAGCAAGGAACGATAAGATCTCTTAAGAATCTCTTTACTATAGTTGACTACTGTTGTAAACCACTGTATTTGTTTTAATCGGGACTCAGAAGTACATATCACCCACATTAAAAAAGGACAATAATAACAGATAAACAAATAAACATTGCCGAAGGGGGAGGCAGAAATCAAAGCACAAAAAAAGAAACAGTTTCAGTGGAGTTATTACAGAATGAGCAGTTTGTGTTTGTGTTGATGTTGTGTTTATACCGCTGAAGGTAAAATGTGTGAACCCCAAAAGAAGGGGACCATGGGGACCCCCAATGTCCCTTGAGTTGGTTAAGTCACAATGTGCACTGCCACGGCCACACACATGCACTACGCCTTTCCAAACACTGGTATTCCAAAAGAACAATACAACAACAAAACTATTTCCATGTATAGACTTTAGCACTGAGTGGAAACACAAAGCTTAATAAATAGATACACAGGTGTTTTCATTTATGTTTAAAGTGCAGCAGACAGCTATACTGTTGCTGTCATGTGCAATTAAGTTTAAATTAATAACAATTTCATTTCACTAAATGACATGGTTACATTTGAAATAGATAGATTTTAACAATAATGCGCAACTTAAATACGATTTTAAATTTGTATTATTTTGTTGTGGTGTGTTAGGAAGGCACCTCGCAACCCCCCCCCCACTGTGGGAACCACTGAACTTGGCAACAGCTCTGCCGTAAAGGAAACAAGGGTCATTTTACGACGCTATATGGCAAGTGTCGCAAAAGTGTGGGAGGCTTTGGGCGCTGTTCGTTACGTAGAAGCAGCAGCCGCCTACACTGACCTGGATATTATTGCTGAAGAGGACAATACCGATCTCTTTAAATATCATGGATTATGGGACCATAATACATCGTGTATGTGCATGTTTACAGCGGCTAGAAGGCAATGGTAGGGCAAACGTGAGGTCCCTCTGCCCTGGTGACGAGAGGAAGGGACTTGCTTGGGAACGTATTGGACAATATCGATAAGTAAGCAATCAAAACCTTGACCGTAAAGCTTATTTCTGCAATTTAAAGGATTTCGGGTCTCGGTTTACACAGCCTGCGTCTGTGGCTGCTCCCTTTAACTGGGTATCACGTCTGAGTGGGTCGTAACATCATTACACGGAGACTACACTTCTCTGAAGTGAGGAAGAAGTAGAGCTGCGTCAGGCTAACTCAACCGCGCTACACATAAAACAGGAAGTTTGTTGGTTTCGCCTTCAAGATAAGACACTTAATACATTGGTTTGACTTTTAATAATGGAAGCTGGTGTTGGTTAAAGCCCCTGACACCCGGAGGAAACATTCGTAGCCTTTTTAGTAGCACCAAGAGTCACTTTCTCTTCAAGAACCGCGGAACTCTTAAGTATAAACATTTCTCCGTTGGTTTTATTGTGGAAGGTGAGAGCGGAAGTCGTGCTCTGGTCTGCCAGCATTTGACACAGGTTGGGAGAGGGATGTGGCCAGGGTGTATTTATGCTGCTGTTCAAGATATGAAAATCATTGAATTAGCGCTGCTCCGGGAGCCCTGCTTCACCACAGGACACGACGGGGGTGACAACTGTGTTGCTGTCCGTCAGTGCAGTCGTTGTCGGCGGTCGGAAACAGTGGACACGACCGAGGCTGCTGCTGCTGCTGCTGCTGTGCTGGTTTCGTCTGGACTGGACCATTTCCATGAAGGCTTCTCAACCTCACGCCAAAACAATTCACGTGCGGGGCTGTACTCTGTGCTTAGTTACGCAATAAAAGTATGTGAAACTATGCGGTCACATTGTTGACTTTTTTTTTTTTTGTACAAAGACTGTGGTTTTACCTTTTTTTTTTAAAATTTAATACACATGTCAACAACTCAGCGTCAAGTGATGATGGAGCCCTCTCTAGCACTCGGCAGACTGGAGCTGACCCCCAGTTCAGCCGCTGTCGGGGTCAGTTTGACCCCGCGGCTGTCCGGCGGGCCCCCAGCGAAAGAGAAATGCGGTCAGGGGCCACAAGGACAGGCTCACCTGAACGGCTGCGTCCCGCTGTCACATCAGGTTGCGGGTCACAAGTATGGAGTGGATAAAGTGGGTGAGTACACCTGTCTTCTTTCTTTCTTTTTTTATAATAGCCTATATGAATAAACCTTGTTTCGGGGGGAAATTAAACAAACAGATGGATACAACTTTCACAAACTTGGAGCAAGAAAGTTATGCTGCCTTAGAATAATCCCCCAAGCAGTTTCATATCATTCATTCATTCTTATCACTCAAACTGCTTGTCTTACACCCATGATTATTTATTGGAAAAGATAGTGGGAGGCATTTCCCTTCCTTGAATATGAAAGCAAAAGTCAAAATGTGGCTTTTATTTGGATTGTCACAATATCATAATTTCAAACTTATATAGGCCTACTAGTAAAAATCGAATGGTATAGACATGTTTGGACAACAAAAAATAATATTCACCCAAATATGTAGTTTTTTTTTTTTTTCAAATAATAAATCTTCAAAAACATCTTAGCTGCTTACCTTGCTGTCAACAATTGGATATTTTGTAGCGTAATAGAAGTTTGACTCTTTTTGAGAGCATCATGCTATAGAGGTAGGCTTCATACACCTGTGTCAATTACAATTCTATCCTACAACTATGTCTTCAAACAAACAGGCATTCATTTTGTTTTTATGACCACGACCTCTCTCCTCTCTCTCTCTCTCTCTCTCTCTCTCTCTCTCTCTCTCTCTCGCTCTCTCTATAGTCTAACGCATATAGGACACCATGGCATTATCAAAGCATTCATTGTGTGTTATCAGGTGAGGTGTTGACCTGATTTGATTGTGTATGATACACTCAGCAGCTGGTGTTAGTTGCAGTATCGGCTGATCAGTCGGTCACCTTGATGAGCCTATACTGTAAGACCCATTTTTACGTTGTGGACAGCACGCAGTCAGCCAGCCAGGACAAACCTGTTAGTTTCTGTTAGACCTGACAGGGAGTGGAAACCCAGTGTTTTCTTTGTTGTAATCCAATTGTTGGTGTCTTTGCATTTAGCTCATCTTTATACAAATTGTTGATTGTGCTAGGTTTATATAGGCAAAATGAATAATAGTCATGAAAGGTTTTCTATAATAATCAATCAAAATATCTAACTTTATGACAGTTTGACGAGTACTCTTGTAATGACAAAAGGTTGACAAAGACAGCGGATTTAGAATATCTATTAATGCCAATTGAAAATAAAAAGTTGATATGATCAAAAAAAAAGCCCTAAAAATACAAACAGTCTCATGTTACTAAAAATATATGTGAGTTCAGGCTTTAACCCCAGGGTGTATAAAACATGGACATAGTCTCAGTCATGGCACTCACAAGTTTCTGCAGGTGACTTTTAAAGCTCAACGATGGCACTCTGCCATATTGGAAATACTGTTTCAAACTAACTTTCAGTCAACAGCAAGAGGGAAAGAGGTGCAGCTGAGGTGGCGCCATTAGCCTCCTGGCAAACAGCTTCTACATATCCCCTTATCAGTCGACTCAGCCCTGCCCATGATTATGCATGTTTATGAGTAGCTCTTATAGTCAATATAGCCCAGTGTTAATCTTCACACCATTTTCTAATTTAGTCATAGTCTCCTGACGAAAATGTCCTTTATATTTAGACAGATATTTGTCATTTTTTTATTGATTACATTTAGTCAATTAGTCACTGACTAAAATTGCTGTTAGGTGGGGGTTGTTTCTGTTTGTATAAATCCAATGAAGAAATCGTGAAACAGACTGTAGATTATAACACCATTTAATCGGCCGAGGTCAGACAACTTCATCAAACAAGCATGCTTCTAAATCACTTGACTGACAAAGTGCTGACAAAGTAACAGTGTTCACAGTGCTGCTTATATTCTGTCAAAAAGGTGCAACCCACAAATACCTTTCTATTTGGGTGCATCACCATAAAACAATGAAGATGACATGACACTGATTTGTATACTTAACAGATGTAGACTAAGCTTTTATTTTTATTATCAGAAGCTTCAGGGGGCGGGGCTTCACGGACCTGCAGGCGAGAGGCTCCAGGGGGCGGGGCTTCACAGACCTGCAGGCGAGAGGCTGCACATTGTTGCATTCACCACACACGCACACCTTTGATGAAGTCTGCTATGGTTTACAATGATTTTGGAACAGCTGAGGGGGTACGTGATAATCCTCACTTGTAATGTAGTTTTCGTTTCGTCACATTTTCGCCAATTAGATGAAATAATATTGTTTATCAAATCGTCAAATAGGGGAGCTTCGTCTCGCCGTTGTCATAGTTGACTAATTTAAAAAGAATTCGTCGATGAATATTTTTGTCATTTATTTAGTTGACGAGATTAACACTGATATAGCCTAATATAATCAACTCAACACAACCCCCATACAATGTGCGACAATAAAGACTTGAACTATTGACACCACATTAGTGTGTTTGCTGTAATCTTGTTCATTTTGCTGTAAAAAGTTACATTGGTTTAAATGGGATTTATAGGTTTTTTTCAACCAACCTCCAGTGGGCACTCGAGGAACTGCAGTTTTTAGCACTTAGCATTGGCTTCATATTTCATCACCAGACGTTTCTGCTTGGTTTAATGTCAGGATTACTTAACAATCTTTATGTTAGTAGCTGAATTATCCACAGGCATTTCCCTTCTCTAAAGACCCGACCAACCTGCTGACCAAAACCAGTAAAAACACTGCTTAAAGCCCTTGCACTGCCTGCTAGCTTAGCTGTGGCTTACATTATCTCAGTTTGGTTCTATCCTAATTGACAGACATCTGAAATCCATCGTTTGGTCACATTAAGGAGTTAGACATGAACAACACTTTCAAAGGAATATGGCGATTGGACTTGGAATAGTAAGAACATTTTCAGTTTTAAATGTTTTCATGCTAGTTCTGCACGCTAAAAAACATTTTGTCCACCTCTAGTAAAAAATCTCCAAACTGCAGCATTGTTTTTTAAAGGCTTATTTTTTGGCTCTTTGTTTCTTTATTTAAAGATAGGACAGTTGATAGAGTCAGAAATTAGGCGAGAGAGAGAGGGGAACGACATATGGGAAAGGAGCCACAGGTTGGATTGAACCTGGGCCGTCCGCTTGGAGGACCACAGCCTCCGTATATGGGGTGCGTCCTAACCACAAAGCTACCAGCGCCCCCTTCAGCATTGATTTTGGCTGATATTTTATCACAATGTAGAAATCAATTTAAAGGAACTATATGTAAAATCTTATTAGAATATTACACTAAAATATACATTAGTTAAATATTGACTAAACCTATGTTATACTGTGTATATTTTTGTTGCTAAAATATTTCCTGTGAAATATTCCAGCAGTTATCCAAAGGAATCTGGAATTTTGTAGTTGTAGCGTGACGTGTCTTGGATACATTAGCTAGTCGGTAAACATATTCTCTTCCTCAGGTCTGTTTCGCCCGTTCGTCTTGACTACGGTCAACATGGAATTTTTCGTCCATCGGGGATGGTGTGGAGTAGCAGACAGACTCACTCCCAGAATTTCTCGTCTGCCTTGACGCAATCTTTTGTCATTGTTTTGATTGAGTGCCCCCTGGTGGTGGAATTTATATTCTGTGCAAGTGTGCATTTAATCACATAGCTCAGGTCCAAACAGACTGGATGAAGATGTATCATAGCATAACTTTCTTTTCATGGCTCGTTAATAGATGTGTTGGAAGTGTCCATCGACATCGACGTGCAGCATTCTTTGGCACCATGATCCAATAATGCATTCGTTCATTGCGTCTCAAACTAAAGTTCAGGGAGATGTGGACAAAGTGGTAAGACTCTGCGTTCTGTTAGAGGTGTCCCAAAGTCAGGTGTGGTCCAAAGCATACTGTCCTGTGTGATGAATCATAGTTATTATGTATTTTGTTCATCCATCTGCTAATCTTGAAATATTGCAAAAGAGGTCTGAAATAACCACACATAGTCATGCAAGATCACGCACACCATGTGAGTGCACGGCTTTACCCCCCAACACGTCAGACTGTCTGAATCAGATAAAACCGATGTGTGTAAACTTCATGTTAAATGCCATCCAAGTAACAATCATGTTAAATGCTTATTCATAGTTAATTCATTCTTTGATGAATGGATTTGTCATTTGGTCTGTAAAATGTCAGCATATGGGAAAAATGTTAATAAGGGATACCAAGAACATGACATGTCATCTTTAAATGTCTTCCTTCGATACCAACCAAAGACATTTGTTTTATTGTCATAGAGGAGAAAGAAAATCATAATGTTCACATTTAAGTAGCTGAAATTAGAGACCTGACTTTTTTTTAAAATAATAAATTAAATATCGAGTTAAAGATTGAGTCAGTAGCTTTTTCTTAAAAATTAAAATAGACAAAAGTAATGTTGCTCAATCATCCCTGCCTCCATATATGTTTGAGAAATAGTCAATGTGTTTGCCGAGGATTTAAATAAAATAAATTATGAATGATGAGTCACAGCAGCTCAAGGAAACAAACATGTTACATTAGCATCAGAAATTTAATGTGAAAAGCTAAAGAAATTAATTGGCTGAAATGCTTTTTTTTTTTTTTTTTTTTTTTTTAAGCTGCTGTTGTTTTTTCCCCTTTAAAAGTTACTTAGATACTTTATTGCAAATGATGCCATCTTTTTGCTTACCCTGTTGTCACTCAGTAGCAACTGAGTTTTTTGGGGTAGTGTTGTTTTGAGCATAAAAATGAGTAGAGTAGAAAGAAAAGGTAAAAATGTCTCCTTTTAATTAACGAAATGAGTTCAATGATTGCCAGAAGCTCTTTGATAATCAGTAACACACAAGTATTTTTTCAAGCAAACATGTTGGACATAAGACAAAGAAAGAGGCCTTTACTGAAGCAGTGCTACAGGCTGTTTGACATTAAGGTGTAATGACCTTATCTCAGTCCCTCCTTGGGCTTGGTAGTGAACAATCATTAACATCGGCTACATAAGATCAAGCCAACAGGAAGAGGATGGTGGTATTGACACAGTGTAAGGACTCCATGGCAGTGGTGGAACAAGCTCAGGAATCCTGTTTAGCTTGTACTGCTGCTGTGCTGACTGAGAATGATCCTGCTCACTCCTCCTCCCACGGCCCTGTTTCTCCTGGCCCTCGGGCTACTCCTGCACTAAAGGTCTTTGTTTGAATGTATATTAGTGATGTGTAGGATATCAACAGCTAAAACTGTCAAGGGTAGTCAGAGCAGGGGTGAATATAAACACTTTAACCAAGCCCCCATTCGTGGCCAAGTAGATATTTGATTGTCAAAATTAAACCTTTGATGTCAACAAAATCTCCAAAAATGTAGTTTGACTTGAGATTGAGTTTGGAGCTGGTTATGAAACATTGTGGTGCCTTTGTTTCAAAGCAAATAAGATATATAGTAACTTTTAAGACCTGTACAATCTACATGGTAGGTGTCAGAGAAGTACACTACAGAAAAAAGCCTTTTGTTTTTAACATTATTCACATAAAATATTCATGATCAGTGATACATGTGAATGTGTAATTATGAAAAGTACACTTTAGCATGGTTTTCTAACATTAACATGTGTCCCTAGTCTGTCTACAAACCCTCAAATTATGAGTCCAACCTCTCCGGCTTTTGCCTGAAAAATGTGTGCTCAAACAGGCCTGTTTGGAAATTTCCCTTCATGACATCACAAAGGGCAGTAACCCCTCCCCCAGGTGGGTGACACTCCCACAGCTAGGTGTTTATTCTGCCCTCTGAGTCTGCCTTTCCACTTTGAACAATTAGGCATGGAGTGGGAAGCCAGAGTCACCCAAGCCCTTCTAGAGGGGCGTGGTCAGACACAGATCATTTGCATTTAAAGGTACAGACACAGAAACAGCCTGTTCTGAACTAGAAATAGAGGGGTTTATAGGCATGATAAAATACAGGATCAGAGTAGATTTATAACAAGAAACTTCAGACATGGGTTGGGGACCTTTTGAAACATATTTAGACTTGTTGAAAAGGAGGATAATATGTGACCTTTAAAAACAGCAGGATGACTGTTTTGTCAGAAAGCTACTTCCACATCAAGTACAGGACAATAACACTTACGACTTTGTCCACAGGGGTCATCGAGGTCAACACAGACCTACAGTTCCTCACAAGTCCTTTATATTAAGGATAACAACTGCTTGACACAGAATGAAGCTGCTTGGACAAATAATATGTTATTGGATCATATATCTGGTTCAAACAGGAACTTATACAGCATACAGCAGATTTAAAAAAAATAGTCCTCATAAAACACCTCAATGATTGCCTTAAAGCAACAATATGTAACTTGTCCACCTTTAATAGTTTCAAAGGTCGATTTAATAGCACAGTAACCTTCAACAGGGAGAATGGCGTCTCTCTCATTTCCACAGGTTGGTCTGATCACCTGTTTACTTCAGTATGTAACTTTGGTAGTGGGCTGAGGTAATCTTGCGGGGAGAGCGTACAATAGCGTCGGCAATAGTTCACACACAAGCCTTCAGTTATAAAAAGAAACCAGTTAGCCCGTCTCTGTACGGTTTGAAACTATGGTTGAGCATAAGAGGAAGTGGACGGTGACAGATGAAGCTAAAAAGAGAAAATGAGAGGGTGACCAAGCAAGAAGAAGAGTGTATCCCCCAAGCAGATATTATTCATAAGGGATTGCGACGCTGTATGCTATCCCTTATGACATGTGTATGGCCTCACTCATTTTTATCTGAAGAAAGATGGTCAACACAACAACAAATCAACCAAAATAAGACAAGACAACTACATAATTGTTAACGATTATCAGCAAATGAAAACATCTGTTTAGAGCTCAAATAATGACCATCAATGTTCTAATAATGACTCACAGTAACCAAGACCTGTCAGATGAACATTTGCATGTTTCCATACAAAATGTAAAGTTGACCTGCATTCATGTCTCTCTTTCACACCATCAGTTCATCATCCAGTGTCTCATCACGTCAGCTGACCGTGTGTGTTTGTGTGTGTTACACAAGTGACACACTTGTACTGGGCAGCCTGACTAACTGGCACAGTGATCTGACTGACTGACTGACTGACTGGCTTTAATGATTCATTTAACGTGTCATCGGTTGAGTTTCTGTCGGTAACTCACTGATCATTAACTTGTTTGAATCCACACTCAGGTTTGCAGCAGCGCCCTTTGAGATTCACATGTCTACATATCTTAGATCGTATCCTATCCAATCGATTTCCACCCCTCATTGTATAAAGCTCTGTTATTACCTTACGTACCAGGTTTTGAAAAGTGTTACGTTTTGAAAACAAGTTCACCACATTAGTTGCCCAGTTGGGCTTAAGTAGCAGCAACCTCTGCTCGCCTTTGCTCTGCCAGGAAAATGTCCTGTATGTAAAATATCTACTGAATTAAATCATTAAATGGCCGTACTATATCATCAGACATTAAGGATAACATGCTTTGTTGAAATGCTGGCTTCTCTGACAATGAAGTAGTCAGTATGTCCTCCTCCTAGGTTTAGATTCTGGTCCTGAATGGTCTGTATTTGTTTTGACCAGAAAAGGTAGGCGGTTTTAAAGCACCCCCACACGGCCGTTTTGCCCCTTGCCCTCGTTTAGCCAGGCAAATTGCAAAACCAACAGGTGTTACAGATATTACTGATTCTACCTGACAGAAAAAAGCCTCAGCATTTTTCTAATACGCTCCACGAGCAGAAATGTGGTAAATCCAGTAGATGCTTTTTTTTTTTTTTTTTTTTTTAAATGGAGAGAGGCTGAAACGCAGAAAAATTTCAAGACCGATGCAGAGCTTGCTAAACACAGAAGCTTCAGTGTCCGCGACATGGCAACCTGCGTGTACATGGACTCTAGGGAGGAGGAGGCGGGTGGAGACAGCTCTCTTCAATGTTATGAATTTGAACTTTAGTACCCACTTTGAACACCAGGTGTCAGAGTTACATATCCTTACAGGTCCTTTAATCCTCTTTGGCTTTCTCTCTAGTAGACTGTAAAAATTCCATGATGAGATTTGCCAAAATGGGAATCACTTGTCTTCAACCTAAACCTAAATGTATCCTATGTAAACACATAAACTGTAACGAGTATGGACTATACCTGCTCTTTTCGTAAAGGATCTTGAGATAAAATTGTTTATTAATTGGAGCTACCCAAATACAGATTGATTGGTTGATTGATTGACAGATGAAGCACTTCAGTGTGATTTCTCTGAGCAGCAAAGCCCAACCAGTTTATCATTTTCATGGACATATCACAGATAAATGTGGCGTATCTGTTTTCACCAAAAGTAAACACTTTTTAAGAATATATATAACTCAGAAAACAATGCTGAGGATATTTAAGAAATGGTGTTCATCGAGTTCATCCAGCAGAGTGGCCTCCAACTTTATATGTCTGCAGCACATGTAGCAACTTAGCAGATGATGGTCTGTTGGAGAACTATGCTCCTGTGCTGCTTTGCATCAGTGCATCAACTCCTACAAACATGTATTTTTCTGCCGCTGAACATTGTACTTCATGGGCCTCCTTATCAATCATCTTTGATGTATTTCCCTCCGCTAATCAATATAATATTGTGTGTGTGTGTGATGAGAGTGTGTTTCTACATCTGTGTGTTCTTAGAGGAATCTAGAGATCAGCCAAAGAGCAGACTAATCCTCTCCATCTGTACTCAGCTGTGGTCAGCCTGCGATGATGTAACAGGACACTTCTCGTTTCCGCTTAAATACTGGAAAAGAGGATGGATGGAACAAGCTCAGGGCTACATTTCGGGGGCATCTTCCTTCTTTAAATGAACCTTCAATACAAATTTCAATACAAAAGAATGAATGGGATGTAACTTATAAAAGTGCTCACTATAATTCTTCAATAAAATACAGGAGGATAGAAGTAGTACATAAATATCACTTCAAATTTGGATGTGATTTGGCGAAAAGACATCACATTTTGCCAGGTCTGTCTGCAGGATGAAACATGCAAACATCATTTGGGGTGCTTCACTGCTATATGATCTTAAAAGTCATGTCATTTCTCTTCACCTTTTTTATTTTTTATTTTTTTTACTTGTGTTAATATGCTCATGATGGGCAATTGCTTATTCTCCTGCATTTCTCATTTGTCTCCCTCCTCCACCACCTCTTTTTATCTTCCTCCTCTTCATCCTCCTTTTCTTTCCTTAAAAAAAAAGCCCAGACTCACTTCAGTGCAGTGGCTATATTTGTCAGTATTCTTTCCCTTAACATCTCTCTTCCCACCGTGTCTTTGCCTGACTCCTACGTAGCTCCCGGTAAAGCTCTGTTGAGGCCTGCACCTAATCATAATTATCAGTTAATAACAACATGAACCGCTTGAAAAATACTGCAAAAAATGTTCATACTCACTTTCCAGAATACCAAGTGTCAGCATATAAAAAAAAAGAGTAAAAGAAATTCACGAGAAGCTAAAAACCATTAGTGACCATCTTGTCTTCATCTTTTCCACAAGTGTTTGATAACTGCTTTTGAGGGATCAACACAACACATGTGTGTATTTTAAATCTATCTCTACAGATCAAACATGGATCAAAGAAAGATATCGGCCGATAAATCTGAATTTTTTATCTCCCTCATATCGCTATCCGTATCGGCCCCAACATCAACACGTTGCTTCTAAAAAATAAAAGCCTTATTTAGCCTCAACAGCTATCATCCTTCCTGTGCTTGAACTGTGTGCTAATGTTGTGTGGTTTCTTTTTTGGCAGGTATTTTACAGCATCCGGATGGAACGGTCCTGAAGCAGCTTCAGCCTCCGCCCAGAGGTCCCAGAGAGATGCAGTTTTATAGCATGGTAATAAACATTTGTTTCCTTTATACTCATGAAACAAAAACATGCACAAGGGGTCATTTCAACAGGAACACAAACATGTCTCTCTTATGATATAAATATGAGTGATCATGGGGGAAAGTCAGATAATAGTAACTATGGTTGTGTATTGGTTACTATATGAAACGTATGACACCACTAACATGTCTAACAGGTTTTACATTGCTATACTGTAATCAGGGTGGTATATGTAGTCTTTAATAGTGTTTGCCATAGACTGTCTTAAACAGCAGTTTGAATTCACATTTAGGGAATGGGTAAAGATGTATTCTTAATATAAGATGTCAGACGCTCTATATGGTGCTGCTGTGTGATCACATGTGCGTGCTGCTAAAGAGCTTCAGTCTTTGATTTGGAGCTTAGCAGCTCCGTCAGCCTCAGCAACTCTCATACACACAGGAATGAGTCATGGCAGCACGTCAGCCTGTCTCTGATCACACACACACACACACACACACACACACACACACACACATGTCTCGCACAGGGCTGTATGTGTAGTTCCAGCTAGTGCTGCTTGATTATGAGTAGATAGAGCCAGAAATTTGGCAGAGAGTCAGAGAATGGGGAACGCAATGCATGGAGCGACAGGCCGTACCCTCCACACATGGGGCATGCGAATCAACCACTAGGCCACAGTCGCCCCTACAGTCATATTTTTAACCCAAAGCTGTTGCTGATCAAAGAGAGAGGGCAGAAGTGGTCCATTCAAATTCAAAGGTTGGCAAATAATGACCTTCATGGAGTCTTTTTGGCATACTGTTTGATAAAGATGTAGCTTTTCTGACCCTTTCAGACGGAGAGCAGAGACAAAAAAAACTGCATTAAATACCTTAAAATGTGTTTTTGCAACTAAGACTGTGTGCAGGAGTTTGCTTGCAAATAATTGAAATAAATGAAAACATTACGCCTTAAGTATTGTCCAATACTACACCTCTCATTTCTGTGGCTGGGAATCTTTGGGTGTATCTATTTTTGATTCAAAATGATTCTGGATTCATGATTCAAAGTCTATTTTTGAATTAGTACGTACTTCCAGATCTATACTCTAGTAATCTGTGAGACTGGCTGAATTTCTTGCTGCTCCATTTTTCACTCTACTGAGTTCAAGAGCTAGCGTTAGCACTCAGCAGGGAGTGGCTGATTAGCTCATTGATATTCATAATGATATTTTTTGGATAAAAGAAGAAATTTCAAGACAACAAAGGATCTTTACTGTGACACTTTACAGAGAAAATCATGAACATCATATTTAAGGAGCTGGAAGCAGAACCAGCAGATGTTTGAGTTTTTCTTTTTGAATGGTGACTGAATGGTTCAATTGTTCAAAAGATGTGTTATACATTTTTTAATTGGCTAATCATGATTAGGAGTAATTGTTGCAGGTCAAAGGTTGGGTAAGTTGATGATGATGATGTAAATGGTTCTGTTTGTGTCTCAGGTGTACTCCGAGGACTGCTGTGATCCATGCCTTCTGGAGCTCCAGAACCATCTGCCCAAGTACTACGGCACCTGGTCTTCTCCAGACAGCCCGAATGGTAAGAGTCGGAACACCTTTCTAGTCCAAGCAGATTATCCATCCATTATCTGTACCGCTTTTCCCATTAGGGGTCGCGGGGGGGCTGGAGCCGATCCCAGCTGTCATTGGGCGAGAGGCGGGGTTACACCCTGGACTGTTTGCCAGTCAATCACATGGCTGACATGTAGAGACAGACAACCAGCCTCACTCATATTTTAGAGTGGACTGTGGGAGGAAGTTGGAGTACCAGAAAAGGACCCACACATGCAGAGGCAGAACATGCAAACTGCACACAGACAGGTCCGCCCGTCCCTGTCCGACAGGGATTCCAACCAGGAACCTCCCCGCTGTGAGGTAACAGCGCTTACCACTTGTGTTCTTTAAGGAGATGTAGCACTGTGAAGCCCAAAAAAAGACATACAAATGTTCAAAAACATATTGAATGGTATGAAAGAAAAGAGAAAAACAGCTCTACTCAAACGGAATTAGGCTCATAGTACTTTCAAAAAGTACTTCCACTAGGTGTGGTGCCCCGACAAGGGGGGGCCAAGACACACCATGAAAAAGTCATGTTTTAATATAAATGACAACAACTATATGCATTTACATAAACAAACATTTCTGTGTCTTTCCTGTAGAGATAGGACAGTGGACAGAGTCAGAAATCAGGGAGATAGAAAGTGGGGACGGATATGCGGCAAAGGATCCACAGGTCTGACTCCTGGGCTGCCCTCTTGGAGAACCACAGCCTCCACTACACTACCAGCACCCCTCTGTGCTGGTAGTGTAGTGGAGGCATCATTTTTTACTAGGGATGTAACGATTCACTCATATCACTATACAATATGATTCTCTCCCCGCTTGTCGTGTGGTTTGGGTCTTTTAATGAACAAGGGGAAGTGATTGAAGCTTCTCATTGTGGTGTGGATTAAATGCTGCATCATGTTGGTTGTATTATTTGTGTAGTTCCCTGTCTTCTTGTAATATTTGCACACAGTTTTTGTCTCATCTTGTTATGTTATCTTCTCACCTCTTTCATTTTCTGTCTTGGGGAAGCCAAAATGCTTCCACACCTCCGATTTATCCCGATTTTTACGATGAATCTTTACGTCCCTATTTTTTATAAAAAGAAATTCAACATCAGTGTCTTCTGAATGAGTTAGTAATCACTCTTCTCGTCTTGTGTCTGTTGTCACCGTCTCAGACTTGTACCTGAAACTGGAGGATGTGACGCGGCGCTTCGTCAAACCGTGCATCATGGACGTGAAGTTGGGCCAGCGGAGCTACGACCCGTTCGCCTCGCAGGAGAAACGTGAACAGCAGATCCGAAAGTACCCGCTGATGGAGGAGATCGGCTTCCTGGTCCTCGGCATGAGGGTGAGTTTGACCTGTCGAGGATTATCCATCTCAAACCTTTATGTTGCTGTTTATCTCTGAGTAAGCTGGTGGACTTTAAACTTGGAAAGTATGATTGGACTCCATACTTGATGATAACAGCAAGATATCCATGTTCGCAAGCCCTTTATAACCATAATGCCTCTTACTGAATGTTTAATTCAAACAGGTTCATGTTTTAAGGCTCTGAAGGTGCAGCTGCTGAACTGCTGCCAGATACAGTCAAGTATAAATGTAATGTCGGGCACAGGCTCAGTCCTCTGCAACAACTTCAACCATAGTTATAATACGACTTCAGAGGAGTGGTGTTTTTAGGAGTTTCAGCTACTAATTAAGATCAATTTAACAACAAATGTGTGGATAAGATGCAGCAAAGGGCCGAGTTTCGGATTCATAACCATGGCCGCTGAGATGAGCACTACAGCCTCTGTACAACATATCTGCTAGGCTTTACGGCGGCTGTTGCTCAGTTGGAAGGTTGAGGGTTCGATCCCCATGTCCGATATGCCCTTGGGCAAGACACTTAACCCCAAATTGCTCCTGCTGCTTCATTAGCGGTGTATGACTGTGTATGAATGGTTACTATATTATTAGTTACTTCTGATGGTCTCACTACATAGATGGTTCTGCCATCATTGTGTGAATGTGTAGGTGTGACATGCGGTTTAACTAAAAACACTTGGAGTAGTTAGAAGACTAGAAAAGCGCTATACAAGCTCAAGTCTGTTTACCATTTACAGCACCCGTTTAACAGAATATTTTAAGAAACAAAAGAGGTCATTCCAGGAATGATTTGCTGAATTTCAACCCAGGGATTAATCAAGTATTTCTGATTCTGCAAAGGTCGATTCATGAAATGGAAATGTCCAGAATAAGATTAACATATATTGTTTTTTAGTTATTTTGATTTCTATTTCACAGATTCACTATTTTCCTTAAGATATCAACAGCTTTTGCCTGGCATTTTCAACCAATGAGAAAATAACATCAGGTTGTCAAAACAAGTTAATCAAAGCTGGTTATTCTACATCCATGTGCATCCTGTCGCCCTCTAAAAGAACATTTACATTTTTTTATTATTTTTGTAATGCTGCCAATCGAAGCTTTAAACCCCTGATATGACCTGAGAGTATCACAGTAGTCTCTGAGATTTTCAGTTTCATCAACATCACTATCTAAAGCAGAATGAGTGAACACAGCGGCGGTGATTCATCACACGGCCCACCGATGAAAATCCTTGATCTAGCTTGAATGCCGCAGAACTAAATCTGAGAGAAACCCTCCAGCTGTAGTGACTCATCACAGAAGTAAGAAATCATACACATCACATATGCTGTGAGGTTGGGCTGTCACTATACCAGAATGTTCGACCGCTTGTTAACGGCTGTTTCACAGTAATGAACAACGAGTGCTCTTAAATGTCAGTAACTGTAACGGCTGTATTGAATTGAAAGTAACTCATTCGGTACTAGTTACTGCAGATAGCAGTGGTGTTAAACTAACGCGTTACTGTTTCAGTACCACGGCAACAAGGATAAAGGTCCTAGACACCAGATATTTAGACATTTCTTGTTCTCAATGAACAAAATCTGCAAACAAACTCCCACACACTTTCTAAAAGGCACAAAAACCTTGGCAACATTTACTGAAACATTTCCAATGTTTTGTGCTTTTTAGAAAGTGTGCAGGAGTTTCACTGCAACTTTTTTTTTTTGTAATCAATTTTTTGTTTAGAAATGTACAATCATATATTACAACTGTTTTCCCCTTTACCTCCCCCAACCCCCCTAGAGCACATACATGTATAAAAGTGCATATGTGCAAACATCAGGATCAATCAAACTTCCAAACCTTCCCCCCATCCCCATCCACCCTGTGGCGACCCCACATACATCCCCACCCCGGATCTCTCAAGGAAAACAAGGCATTTCAGGTCAAGCACGCCGCACACTGTCCTTAACTGTATTGTAGGCTACATCCCATGCTTTGAGGGTCTTAAGGCTGGCCCCATGCATTCGGGCCACAGACCATTCCATCTGAACAATTTCAAGAAGAGAGTTGGCCCAATGTTGCCAGGTGAAGGAATGTGCGGTTTTCACTGCAACTTTTGATGGATTCATTCCTCGTCAACGCTCAAGTCTTATAAAATAGATGTTGGATATTAAATGTCTTGATTCTATCAATCATTGAAATAGCAGAGATTGCATCATTTTAAAGCACAAGGTATTGAACAACATTACCGTGTGGATCAACATGACATATGACATAATGGCTCAATGGTTAACCCTTGTGATCTGTGAAGTGTATTCAGGTTATTGACTGAACTTAGTTTTCCAATTCCTCCTTCCACACACAAACAGACACAAAACGTTCATGTCAGCAGTAAGTAGCTGTTGTTTATCTGAAGGAGTGTGTTGACTCTCTGGAGACTCCTCTCCCTGGCTGCAGGCTGTGGAGGAGTAAACACGCATCATGTCAGCGCCTCATTAGTTTGTTTTACAGGAAGGAACTGAAGAAGCTCTTCTCAAACATCCAAACCTTTTATCACTTTGATCAGTTTCCATTGCAAGCTGCTGTCAGCATCATCTTCAGTAATTGTGCTGGTTGAAGTTTCCTGTCTGCAAACAGAAGACACCCAGCTAATGACCTGTTTTCTGATTGAGATCCGGGGTTTTTCAGGAAGTCCAGTGTTTGGATGAAGTATAAATTCAGTCATCTCTTTTAAAGGACAGAAATGGGCTTGATTTTGAATACTTACTTTTTAAGTTAGTTGTTTTTTTAAGGTAACCGAGTGTAGCATCTACTGAAGGCCCTGACACACCAAGGAGATCGTACGCCGTTAGTCCTAGTTGGACTGAAAGTGCATCTTATAACTCACAGTCTTTCTAATGTCTGTTATTCTTTATTTTTTACCCAACACCTTTGCAACAACATTTCCTGATCTAATATCAATCCAAAGAGCAGTTCTTCTTCCCAATGAATCGTCACCATTTAACCTGAGGGTAGCTAGCTTGCACAAAACACAGCGAACACAGAGCTGCTTCCAAAAGGTCAAATGTACACATGCATTTTTTACATACAATCGTTTTTTATCCACTGGGATAAGTTCTGACTTTCGCTATGTGTTTTTTGTGAATGGTCATGTGATATGATGAACTTGTCATTCATTGCACAGCCCTCCACAGCAGCTTATCTCTGCTGTAATGGAGTTGATTGTGGGAGGGGTGTTATGGCATAGTAAAGATATTGAGTGTTTGTCCTGACAGGCCTGGTGGTGTTTGTCTAACCCACCCTCAGTACAGATGAGTGTACTTAGTGGCTGTGTGTCTACACCCTTTGTAAACGCATCGTAAATGTACCTTACACTTCTGGACATATGTGCGTGTGATTGCTATGGAAATGAGCTGAGGTAAATTTCCAAAAGGTAAAATTCATATTTGATCTGTGTTAAAGTTCAATGGACGTCTTTCAGGCCTCACTCTATAAAAGCAAACACTCAGGAGGGTTTTGTCTGACTCTTTGACAGGAACTACATTCCTGACTTTTAGCTGAATGGATGCTATGATGAAACCTACTTTTCAATGTGTGGGGTATAAAGGCGCAGTCACACTAGGCAAAGTTGTCCTGTACCTAGCTTTAGCATGATTTACCCCCTCCTCCTCCCCCCCCCCGCTGGCCTGCACTCACACTGCTCCAGGACTAACGGGGTCTGAGTACGGTCTCTGTCTTGTACATAATGTCGTAATACATTTAACATTTATTTATTATCATGGTCTTTGAACTCTTCCCTGGCTGATAATGGACTAAGCAGCTTCAGGCGATCAACAATCTCAGCGGCTCTCTGATTGGATGATGACAAACTGAGACAGTCTCTTTGGTTGTGTATATACATACTGTACATGGAAATGTTTTCTTTCTGCCATTATACCTGATGAAGGTCGGTTAGACCGAAACGTTGTACAATCAAACAAGAGCCTTTTTAATAGTCTTGGACTTGAAGCCGCACAAATGTACGTTATACTTATACACAGAGCCTGACTGATGTGGGATTTATTTTGAGTGTTCAGAGTTTAGAGGGGTAGGACGTTCCTCTTAGTCCCACTTTAACTGGATTTAATTAGATTTTATGTATTTTCAACATAATTCATACCATAGTCTGTTTCATTGATTGACATCTAATCCTATTCTATTCTACTTTATGGATTAGCTTTCAGTGTGTTATAATTTTTTTTTAAATCCTTTATAGCTTTATTGATTAGCGTATGGTATTTTGTTATTATAATAATTATCTAATGATGATTAAAGCAGTTAATAAGAGTTAAAGGAAACCAATAATTGTTCAATGTCACTTTAGCCCAAGTTTAAGAACAAAGACATCAGGAGTACGTTGGGTTCTTTTGTAACAAAGGGTTCAAACCAGAACATGGCCCTGAGCGAGGAAAAACTCCCGTCCTAATCTCAGCTGTGTGTTTAGATACAGAGGAAACTAATTAGTGGACATGATCCTCCTGATGGAGGGCTGATAGCAGCTGACTCTCAGTCTTCTGCACTGAGCTGGTATCATGCTGCAGCTTAACCTGCAGGAGACTCTCAGACCCACTTTAATGTCATGTGGGGGCAGAAGTGGGCGTGATGTTTAACAAGTGAGAAAAAAAAACAGATTTATTTTTCATTTGCACTCAGTTTACAACAAATGATCCTAAACTGTTTTGACACGTTATTTATTTAAAGGCTTTATATGCGATTTCTTTTTGATCCAGCAGATGTCGCCCTTGAGCATTGTGGGTTAGCATGCTAATGCTAGTGATCTTTATTATGCTCGTATCTTCACACTGCATGTAAATTTACCTGAAATGAGCGTGATCTAGAAACACAGTTAAGCAGTGAGTACAGTATGTTGTTCTTCTTTTCTCTAGTCCCTCAATTAAACAACTTTTATATGTGAAGGGAGGAGAGAGTCAGCCGGCCGTCCCAGAGGATATACTTTCTATTACATTTAAGTGTGAAAAATTGCATATAAAGCCTTTAAAGGGACAGCACCTTAACATGAATGTTGTTGTTTTTCAGGTGTACAAGGTGTGCAGTGACACGTTTGACTCGTACGACCAGCACTACGGGAGGGGACTTGTGAAGGACACCATCAAAGATGGTACGTGTGATATTATTTGTCCTTTCACAATCAACCTTTTGTGTTTAGATTTTAGGGTTTAATTTTCTTTTCATGTATAAAAGTTCATGAAGAGTTTTTGGGTTTGTAAAATTTGGGCCAAAATCTGCTCAGAAGAATTCAGCCCTAACTCTTTAATTCAAACATAAAGCTACAAACCTGTATTCTATATTATCGCCAGCAGAGGGCAGCAACACTACTTGTAAAAAGAAGTTGGATTGTATGATACTACTAACCCAAATCACACTTATTTTATTCCCTAAAAAACACTTTATGAATAAGTTCAGAGTACTAATGCAGGTTACAGAATGAGTAGAGAGGTTACAGTAAGAGTAATAAGTAATCGAGACAAGCATCAAGATATACAATCCAAAAAACAGTCTTATCAAGATACATATAAAGAAAAAGAAAAGTTAGGTGAGCAAATTGAGCTCGTCAGTGGCATCAGACTGGAAGCAAATGAAATCCTCCCTGTCCTTAAATATGGCTCCAAAGAACAAAGATGCTATGCTTGGGGCTTCAGAATGATTTGATGTTACGGTGTCATTAGCTGTCCTAACATGGACGACATATAACTAGAATATTTGCCTGATCAGAATAAGAATGCTTCATGTTCAGTTTTTTTATTGGTCAGGGTAGCTAAAGAGAGACAGGAAATGTGTTCAGGGAGAATGGGGGGGGGGGCGACGACGACGACAAGGGCCGAGACCGCTGCAACGAGGACTGCAGCCTCTGTACAGAGGACGCACAACATAACCGCTAGGCTATCTGGCGCCCCTTTATGCTTCATGTTAACACCTCACTCGTAAGAGACTAGTCCGGTCCGCCCATTCAGATAGAAACACTTGATCTGACTGCTCCTGATTGCTGATACGATTACTGTTACTGTACATGTCTGCCCCAAGTTTAAACACTGAGGGAGCAAAGCAAAGCCGGTACTTTTTTTATACTGGAGACATTAAAAGATCTCTGGATTACTACATGCAGGAGTATAGAAGAGAAAAAAACATTCTTTTAAGTAAACAATGAAGGTCCATTTTAGAGAAATGAAAGGAAAAAGTTCAATGACAGACATCCTGAAACACAGACAAGAGAGAGGAGGAGAATGAAGTCTCTGGCCAACAGCAAGGGGGCGACAAAGGGGCAATATGTGGAGGCGTGCAGCATTGATTGTTTTTAAAACAGGCAGCTTTTTCTCCTGCAGATTAGACCTGCCGGATAACTGTGGGTTTATGTAAATGTTTTTATTCTGAGGAAATGCTTGATGCATGTATTAACAGGATATTTTATTCAGGGTACGTGAAACAGTGAAGTTTGAATCTCTAATCAGAATGCTTTTAACATGGTGAAGTATAAACATACGTCGTCTTCTTATGTGTTATCTTTGGTTTTATGGATATCTTAAATGTTCACAAGCTTCATCGTTTGCATGCCCGGAGAGGAGCAGCCAATAGGACAGAAGGTTTTATTCCTCTTCTCTCCTCTCCTGCAGGCCTGGCAAAATTTTTCCGTAACGGTGTCAATCTGAGGAGGGACGCCGTGTCGGCTAGCATCCGCAGAGTGCAGCAGATCCTCCGCTGGTTCGAGTCCCAGCAGCAGCTCACCTTTTACGCCAGCTCCCTTCTCTTCGTCTATGAGGGTCTCCCCTCCTCTCGCTCCCCATGCTCCCTCCCCTCCCCTCTCAGCACGCCTTCCATCAGCCCGACTGCAGAGAAAACCAGCAAGCTGACATCAGCGGCCGACAGCGGCGTGGTCGTCGAGGGGACGGCGAGACAGGACGGGGCGGGGCAAGATGAGGAAGTAGCCGAGTACAACAACAACAACATTCAGGCGCCTATGCCCTGGGATTACAGCCTGGCCACCATCTACGCCAACCACACGAAAGGGGGCCACCATCACTGTGCTAAGGGTCATCTCCATGGCAACAGCGGAGCAAGTGACACCATGGAGACGACAGTGAGCGCGGACTGTGGAGATAAAACGTCGGCACTGTGTGAAGAAGACAACTCGGCGTGGAAACGGACAGGCGAGTCGCGGCAGGCGCCAAACGGAAACGGAAACAAATCCCGACTGGAAGGGTCGGACGAGGATGGAGAGAAGGAGGACAGTAGCAGGAGGAGAACAGGGGAGGAGATACTGAAAGGAGAAGGAGGTGACACAACAGAGGGGAGCGGAGGAGAGGCGGAGGTGGAGGTCAGGATGATCGACTTTGCCCACGTTTTCCAGAGCGAGAGCCCCGATCACGGATACGTCTACGGCCTCAAAAACCTGCTGACGGTGCTGGAGCAGATCCTCTGCGACTCCGCCTAGAGCTCCCCCTCCTCCCCCCTCCCTCTCCTCACCTGCTCCCCATTTCTCCCCTCTGCCCCCACCATCCACCCCCCCCCCCCTCGCCTCCTATCAAACCTCACTCCTGTCTTTTCAAGAAACTTTCAGAGAGGAGAGGGAAGAATCAAAGAAGTGAATATTAAACTAGAACCGTCATCGTCATCATCATCATCTCACCTGGTTTGATGGTCTGTCAGTCGTGTGTGTGTGTGTGTGTGTGTGTGTGTGTGTGTGTGTGTGTGTGTTTGTGTGTGTTTGTGTGTATGTGTGGACACGGCAGAAACTGACTGCTGTGTTTTTACCTGTGATCAGCAGAACTACATGATGCACTAATCGATTCATGAAGGCATTTGGACCCTCGGCTTGAACACAACATCTTCAGCTGCATGATTTACAGAAGCTCAGACAAACTCTACAAATTCTCAGATCTACAGTCAACTTCAAATGCAATTGAAGAAAATGCTGTTTGACAAAAAGCTGCTAGGTTTCTGCTTAAATTTGACACAAATGTACTTATTTTAAACCCCTTTTTTTATTTTATCGTGTACTCTTTGTCTCTAAAGAGCACCGACCTCCATTCAAATTTAAAGTACAGAGACAGATTGAAAAAGAAACTGGAGTTTAGAATCATCGTCTCCATCATCCAACCAATCCCTATCCCTAACTATCCAAGCCATCGTTGAATAGTTCAATCAGTGTTTTCACTGGGATCCTCTCTAGGTTTTCTCTGCACATATTTTCTCTAAGTGTTTGAGCTTTGAGTAAATTCAAGAAACGCTGAAAATGTTGTGTTTAAGTCAGGTTTCCATCTTGTTTTTTTTTTTTGTTTTTTTTAAAAGTTTAAACCACTGTCTACAGGTATCTAACTCAGGTAACTTTACTGTAAGAAAACATTACTACTTATTATCCTCTCAGCAAGCCGGTCGTCACGCTGCGTTGGTTGTTCAGCTCTAAGCGATCGTTTTTCATTTTTGTCTTAATCCGTGTATTTGATCTCATCGTCGACCTTATCTCGTAAATGTTGAGTGTTGAACCGCTTGACCCTTGACCCCGTGACCTTACATGTTGTGTTATGTTTTAACCATGGTGCACATGTTTAGCTGCCAAATCTTCTCCTGTCTGAAGCTCGTGCTCTTTGCTGTGTTTGGTGCAGTCATTCAGTGCCCCTCCCCCCCCAGGCTCCACACCTTGCCCTCGTTTTAGGAACAGGATTATACCTTGTACTTCCATTCTTTCCTTTAAGTCAGAGGCTACATTGCTCATGATTGGTGGCCATTGCTTTGACAATAACGACGTGTTATGATATGATTTTAAGTTATTATTATTATTATTATTATTATTATTATTATGTAATTCATTGATTATTAGCTCGGCCGGAATATGAAAATCAACAGTTTCCCTGTTAAATTCTTTTATTTAATTTTAAATGACAGAAGTGACATGTGATACTGTGATAGGCTAACTCGTGTTAGCGTGACATGAACTAATATGACCGAACTTTGCAAAGGGTGTTTGATTGTAAAGACATGTTTGCTGCTTTAACGGGAGTCGACTGACCGACTCACCCGAGAGTGACAGAATGCTAAAGTGAGTAAGACAGCAACTGAATGGTTTCTTTATTCTTTTAGATTTTTTTTTTTTTTACTTGGAGCAGATAATCAGGCGCTTTCTCTTATAAGAGACATCAGTTATCTATTTTCAAGTGGTAACAACTGCTTAATGTTGCTTTTTTCAACATTTTGTTTAATAGTAGGGTCGACTAAATGTTTGAGGCTGACGCACAGACTGACGCTGAAGATTTCTAGTTTGCTTTTATAAAAATGTGAAACTGTCCTAAACCCAAAGCTTTAAAATAGAAACCATCAACTCAACGATAAGAAGTGGATGTAGCCCGAGGTCTGAGAAGCAAAGCCAAAGCTGAAGTGCCTTTTATTGGCCAGCAGGGGGAGATCAGAAGAAAATGAGCCTCCTTCTCCCGTGATTTATTACCTCAGTATCGTTTTTTAATTAGTCTCAGTCTTCAGTAAAAACAAGGAGTCTTTATTACAGAAGACCTGAGCAGACATGCATCCACACGTTTAACTTAAACTCTGTTCCCCCGTGATAGTGACTCATTTAGCCGAAGGACCCAAGACGATCTCCAGCCAAATTTTCAGATATTTTTCAACCCATCCGATTTAATTCATGAAAGTTTATGCAGGTTGGACGTCAGACGGTACAAACCGGGACAGAACAAAGAAACGGATCAATACAAACGTGTTTGAACAGCTCTTTTGGGTCCCGACCCACCGGTTGAGAACCCCTGTGTTAACCCCTTTTGATTGAGTGATTTCTACCCCAGATATCTAAAATACAATCTGGATACGATTCAGGAGAACTAACACACCCTCTGAGGAGTCGGCTGCTCTTTTTTTGTTTAATGCCCGTTTATTGAAAAAAGAGAGGTCACATTTCAAATCGAAGTAACTGTGAATTTTAAAAGCACCTTGTTGTCAAGCTAGCGCCTTCTTAGCACTTTTATTCTCGTCGTCTAACCTCAGTCACTGCTGGCTAAAAAAAAAAAACCAAGATGGCAACGGTAAAAAAAAAAAAAAAAAAAAAGCCAAACTGGAAGCTTCAGTCAAACCAATAGGTGAACTCATGGTTTCTATGTCCACTTCTTATACACAGACTTTGGTTAAAATCAGTGATCTTCATTTAGCTGTGAAGACCCAAGGATAGACAAATGGTTTCCTTGCATTCGTGCCCTTTTCATTTCATCCAGACCAAATAGATTCTCAACGAAAGAAGGTGTAAATGTTTTTATGAAATGACTCTTCAATGAAACGTCCACTGAAGACCAGGACAGCTTGAATACAGAAGACAGCGTGACAGCATTTAGGACGTAATAACCCGTCCTCATGTCAGTCTGATGTGCAGTCAGCCTAAATGTTAGTCCACCCCTACATTCATTCAGCAGCTGAAATGCTTTGTCTCACATATTAGAGATGATAAAAACAGACATTTTAAGGATTTTTATCTCGGCCTACAACGTTATCTTCAGATCTTTGTTTGTAATGTTTTTCATGTATCCTGCTAAACTGCTCAGCCGTTGCTTTGAACGCCCCTCGCGTCTCTCCACACTAACACTGGAGCTGCTTTTGAAATGTGGTGCTCCAGTTGGCCACTTTGATTCTAACCGATAATATGCACAGGCCTCTTCAGTGTATGTAGCTTGTAAGATATTATGAATATAATGAACAATAAGTGACTCCTGATCTTTTTGTAAATTAACCTCGGATTAGATGTTCTATGATTTGTACGGAAACCAAAAGAGACGATGAACTATAAGAATATCATATTTTTCTCTAACGTTGCTTTATATAAACGTGATTCTTTGTTTTTGAATTAATCGATATGAAAAAGGATGTTTACAGGAATTAGAGGACAGACTCTTTTTATGTTTTTGTTTTATTTTTGAAATCACTGCCTTACGTTCTGTGGATGTCTCCATGTCGTCTCTGTTTTTTAAAATGTTGATTTATGATCATTCCGGCAGCTTTGTGAATCTCCTCTCTGGGTTTTAAGCCTGTTGTTGTTGTTTTTTCTTCTCTCTCAGCTAACTCACAAAAAACCATATCATGCAAAACTGTGTACAGGGCATTGGTTTGATGACTGGCCGACTCATGATGATGCATCTCGTCTCTTTAAACTCCTCTGATCAGTCTGCTTTACTGAAACGTTTGATTTCAGGGAAGGTGGGCCCTTTTACAAACATCCACAGCTCGCTCAAGGCACAGCAACACAAAGTGAGTGGATACAAGTCCGCCACTCAGGAAATAGAAGTGTTACATGGCATATATTTTTTATAATATATTTTGTAAAGGATACATTTATCATAACGGAAACTCTGTTGAAGTACTAAAGTATTCCAAAGGCCACCTTTTGGGATAGATGATCAAAAGTGTGCACTTGACTGCCTAACCACAGTGAGATGGATAGACTAACAATGGCCGCCCGGGGAGAAAAAGAAGTCTAAATCATCAAACCGATAATATGCAAACAGTTAACAAAAATACATGAACGAGTAATTTGGTAATTCAGACCTTTGTTGATTAAAGCTAATGTAACAGAAGTGCTCCAGCCCAAAAAATATTGTCAAATTATAATTTCACATTAAAGGCAAACAAAACCAGACTTAGCATGTTGCAGGTTGTTCTTCAAAGTCATGAAAGAGTTCCACGGCCCACCTCCTCTGCCATCACAACGTCTCAGTACAATGTCTGGATGCACCTTGTACTCGTACTGGAAACCAACATGAGGCCGTCACATTGATGGTTCTGTCACTTTACTGAACACGCTGCATCCCGTCAGGAAGGAGCACACTGAGCATGTGCAGTCCAGATGTTCTCAGCAGATGTTCAACTGTGCTTCTGACCTTTTTCCACTGCTGATGGTTATGATGCAAAAGTGTCCGGTTGACAATAACTCTTTGTTGCCTCTTTGGCTCCATGTTGCTTTTATGCTCTATACTCGTTTTGTTTACATTGCAGTTGCTCTCTTTACGACCACGAGGGTTTAAGTCAGAACAAGATTTATTTTCTGTCTCTCTGAACAGGTTTTTTAAATGTTGTTTTGATTTGTCCCTTTTGATCTCATTAATAAATGTAATTTTTTTCTCATGTGATTTCAAACCGGTCTCACTCATCCTGCAGAACCAGAGAGGGCGTGGCATGTTTTCAGCCACAGATGGATGTACTGAACATTACTGCAGGCCCTTTCAAAGCGTTACCAGAGCGTTCAGAAACATGTCCTAATCAGTTCTATTCAACCAACTCTTTTCTTTCCAGGGTCATATCAGCTCAGGTTCAAGCAGCCCATTAAAAATAAAAATAACTTCATTCATATATCACCTTTAAAGACGGATGCTTACAACGTGCTTTTATAGAGAAAGAAAAGGCAGGAACTCAGGACAATAACAGAATAAACATCAACAGCCAGGCCGAACAGAACAATGCACACAATTATTGTCAATGCAAATACAAGGAATAAGAAAGATACAACAGTCAGGTCTCAAAGGGCAGTTAAAGCTGTGAAGCAGTACAATTAAAGAAAATTCAATCAAAGATAAAAAGTCAGCAAGAAGACGACATCACATCACAGGGAAATTAAAACAGAAATGACGATAAAAAGGGGCGACTTCATTGTAGCTTGTTACGAAGAGTTTATAAAGACCGACCAAGGCATTACTCTTCAGAAAGATATATATTTCTTAATGGTCAGAAAAACATGGTAAATTGTATTGTGCATAATGTTCAACACTAATAAGTGTCCCTAGTCTGTCTACAAAACCCCCAGTTATAAGAAAAGTACATCCTCTCCGTCTTCTGCCTGCTCCACTTTTCAGAAAATGTGTCCTCAAACAGGCCGTTTGGAGATTTTCTCTTTGTGACATCACAAAGGGCAGTAACCCCTCCCCCAGGTGGATGACACTCCCACAGCTAGGTTCTGCCCTCTGAGTCTGCTTTCTCACAGTAAACAATTGACCAAGGTGCAGGACAGTCCGAGCCACCCAAGCGCTTCCAGAGGGGGCGTGGTCAGACACAGCTCATTTACATTTAAAGCTACAGACACAGAAACAGCCTGTTCTGACCAGGGCTGAAATAAAGAGGTTTATAGGCATGATCAAATACAGGATCAGAGTGGATTTAGAACAAGTAACTTTACAGACATGTTTTGGTGAGCTCTGAGACTTATTTAAACTTTTTGAAAAGGAGGATAATATGTGACCTTTAAAGGAGTTCTTCCCGCATTAAACTATCTCCTGAAGTAGGTGCGTAGTCTACATAAAATTCTGCCCACTACTCTGAATGAAAACACCTGATGAAGGTACAGAGGGATTGAAACTTTGTGATCTTTACAAATAAATTAGGGATGCCGAGCAAAGAGTAGTGTGCAGGATGTTTTTCTTTTAAATGAGTGGAGAATATTTAAAAAATGGAGGATGGTTAAATTATTTTTTTTAAAGCTGTTTAGACCTTTTTTTGTACATGAATGACTATGCAAAGGTATACAGAAGGCTATTTCTGAAACAAAAAAACTCCATTAAGAATATTTAAGATCATTATACACATTGTAGTGGGTTCATTGTGAGGCTCTGTAATGTGTGCAGCAGACCATGCTGAGAGTATTGTTACCTGTGGAGTTGTCCAAAGATGCTCCTACAAAGAAGCCATGTTTGTATGTGAAGAAAAATCATATTGGACATACATTTTTAAAACCCCATGGGATGCTTTGAAAACATGGACAGCAGTAATGTGAGTACATCGTCTGAGACGTTGGTGTCTGTTTGATCTTTCAGCTGCATTTATGTCAAATCGAAGAGGAACAGTTCAAATCCTTGAGTGTTTATAAGAAGTGGACAAAGTCTCTTTGATTTAGAAATGAAGCCAATGATGAAGTGCCTTAAACCTGCATAATCTCTGATGGCCAGCAGGGGGCGACTTGTTGCAAATAGAAGTAAGATATTTTCTTTTTTTTTTAAAAGGTGGTGATTAAACAACCCTATTTGTAGTTTATTTCTTACCTCAGTAAAATGGTCCCATTAAAACTAATAAGGTGGTGGTGGTGGTGTAGTGGTCAGTGCTGTTGCCTCACAGTGGGCGGCTGTGGCTCAGTAGTAGAGTTGTCTTCTCTTAACCAGAAGGTCAGCGGTTCAATCCCCAGCTCCTGCAGCAACATGTCTGATGTGTCCTTGGGCAAGACACTTAACCTCAAATTGCTCCCGCTGCTTTGCGTATGAATGGGATTAGTTACTGCTGATGCTCTCCCTACATAGCATGGGAATGGGTGTGAATGTGTAGGTGCGGTGTAAAAGCACTTTGATTAGTCAGAAAACTAGAAATAAGACTATAAAAGCTGAAGTCCATTTACCAAGTGGAGTTGGCATGCGTGGGTTCTCTGGGGTACTCCCACTGTCCAAAGACATGCTCGTTAGGTTAATTGGAGACTCTAAATTCCCTGTAGGTGTGAATGTGAGTGTGGCTGTTTGTTTGTCTGTATATATATATATGTCAGCCGTGTGTTTAACTGGCGACCAGTCCAGGGTGTACAGATCGCCCGATCACAGCTGGGATAAAAAAAAAAAAAGAAGCTATATATAAATGAAGAACTAATTCCCAAACTCAAGGCTACGTCCACTTCTTATATTCAGTCTCTGGTTCAAACAAGCTCACACACTGAATCAGACCTGCCACTGCATCTGTCTGATTAACTTGAGCTTCATTCATGAAGATTTTTTTTTTTTTTTTAACAAAAATTATATTTTTATAGTTCACAAAAAAAGCCCCCCTCTCTGATTAGCTGTGATATCCTCCTATACTCTTCTTCTGGGTGATCCCCCTCTGTGTCTTTAATGTGACGCCTGAGGGAAACGGTGTGTAGGTGGAGTTTGAAGAGGAACTGAGCCCGGTGCGGTGCGCTCCGCTTCGCTGAGCCCTGTAACAGAATCTGAGCTCTGAAAACTTCTCATAGTGGATTTTGAGGCGTGTTTGATTTTTGATATGCTGGATTTAACATGTCTTATAAATGAGCCTGAAACAGAACAGGAAATATCATCAGTGTACATAAGGAGAGGAACTGAAACTGTCTAAGTCCCTCCACAACTATAAACCTGATACTCATTATTTTTTCAATAATAAAAATATTAATCAAACTGTTTGATGAGTCCTCTTGTGTTCTGCTTTCTTCCACTTGTAAATGGTAAATGGAGCACTTTTCTAGTCTTCTGTCTACTCAAGGCGCTTCTACAGTGCAGGTCACACCTACCCATTCACACACTGATGGTACTATGTAAAGAAAATCATCTTATATGCAAATATAAAGAATAAGAAAGATACATTAGGCAGGTCTCCAAAGGCAGTTAAAGCACAAAACAATACAATTAAAGAAAACATTTAAAAAGTAACAGAAATGATGAGAACATTATATGCATCAAAGAAGAAAATGACATCACATCACAAAAAAAAATGATGATGGTAGTGATAGATATTTAAATAAATATAAAAAAGCAAGAGAAGACTAGAACAGAAGAAGGATTAGAAATTGATAAAAGATTAAGAGCAATAAAATGAACAAAAGAAGATTAATGGAAAAAAAGCATTTAAAAAGATCTGTAAAAGAGAGTTTAAAGAAGTGATTTAAAAGATGTCACTGAATCTGCACGCCTTATTTCCTCAGGCGGGTCGTTCCAAAGTGTGACCGGGCTCGAGCTCACGTTAACTAGCAGTAATGAAAGGCAGCTGGGCTCCGTCCAGCACAGATCCAAACAAAGTAAGGACGGTTCAGGAGCAATTGGGACTTTAAAAGCCATTAAAAAGGAGGCAAAGTGTTGTTTAAAGATGACATAATGTTAGCAGATTGGTTTTCAGTGAGTGTTTTGGTAGGCAGCTGCTTTCCCTCTTGACAAACCGTTACATCGTCTGTCAATCAGGTCAGCTACGCGCCTTATTGTGAAACAATGTGTCTGTTGTCTATTATCTTTATACACATTTGCATAATACAAACTAGCTCCATCTCAAAAGCTCCATCAGTGAAATGCTGCTCATTAACAGCTAATTAGTGCACCAGTGTTGAAAAATGAAATGCTTGTCTGTTTTAAGACTTTAACTTTTGGTGCATCAAACAGATTTTGCTCATCATACTACTGAAGGATTTTAAATGTTTGGCTTTTCCTCTAAAGCTCCTGTGAAGAACTTTTCAATTTCAGCGGCCCCTAAAACAAAAACTCTGATCCTGCTTTCTTTTAAGAGTAACATTTACCAATCTTTGACGTGGAAAAAGTAAAAAAAGACAGCTTCTTCAGCGTGCTGTTAATTACTTCAGTTTAGTTGCTGATATTCTCTTTGCATTTAGAAGTCATATAGAACCATCAATTTTAATTCAGTCTGTATTATGACCAGCCAAACACTCCTCATAGAAGCTTTAAGTATTTCTTATCACACTTTTAGATTGAAAATTCTCTGTGAGGAAAAT